ACCTTATGGGAAAATTTGATTCGGGACGCGACCAATTCGGGTCGCGACCAGAGTTGCGGAATGAATTAAGTTCGTGACCCGAGGTACCACTGTATTTCAATTTTTTTAGCCCATTTTGATTCTGAAATAGTTGTTTTGAGGTCAAGATGGGTTGCTCTGTCCATTCTGGAAATGTGCTAAGTTTGAAATAGCTGTGTTCTAAGTCTGAAAGCAGTATTTTGACCTTGAGACAAGTCAAGGTCAAACTACTGCTCAGATCACCTTGTTTCAGGGCCAGACAACTACTTCAAATGAAAGAGAGAATTTGGGGCTCATAAAATTTCAAATTCCAATTGTTTTGCACATCATTTAGTTCTGGATACACAAAGCCATCTAAAAGGTATCTAGAAAATATCTAAATTTCCTGCAAAATGATGCAGTGGTATTTATGCAGAAAGTGATAATGAGAAGATTCTTCCAAGCCAGGTATGTATTGATCCCTCTCAACCCCTCCCATTTGCTGAGCCCCTGTCTACATTGTGAGGATCTACTAAGGCTGCAGCATGTTGTTCTTTGAAAGTACTTCTGTAATTTTTTGAAAGAAACAGTACTCTTTGTCATAAGATTTAATAACTCTCTAGCCTGTAACAGAGGCTCTGAGCCATATAAATTTACTTTCTGCAAACATGATAAAGGGAAGACATTCAATTCTCACCATACCTTTCTGATAGGATGACTGGATTTGAGAATGCTGTATTGTAAGCTGTGAATAGCAGATGTTCATTTTCAGTTCTGAGCAGTAGATAGACTAGTCACTACTTTTATGAATAATCTCTGCTAGTTTAGGACAAATGCTCAATATTTGCTGAATCAAGGCACATGGCTACTTCTTTGCCTCAGCATTTTTAAATCTAGATTCCACATCAAGAAGACTCATTTAATGCAGATTATTACATTAAATAGCAAGGTGTGGGAACCAACTTAACTAGGCTTACTCTGATGTTAGTGGAAATGAGTTCCACTGTATGCAGTCTTCAGTCTGCAACAGAGTCAAGGCAAGTTGCTGCCAAGCAGAACTGTAAGAGTGTGAGTAGATGTGTGTGCGTGTTTTAATATATACTAAATCATGTATATGCAGGAGGATATACAGAGAAGTTCAACACATTTTGTAGTGTGATATATTTAAAGAGATTTATTTTTATAATATGCTGTATTTATATAATTTTGTTGAAGGAAACTTTATTAATCAGAAAGTGGCACATATAATAGAGCTGTAATGTGTCTCTTTTAATTGCCAGTATTAATTTGGCCCTGGAGTATCAGCTCAACTGCAAAGTTCTGTCAACATGAATATTCTCTAAAGAAAGCAGTGTTACCTCCAGTACCATCTCCAGCTGTAAAGTCACCTCCTTGAATCATAAAATCTTTGATTACACGATGAAATTTACTTCCTTTGTAACCAAATCCTTTCTAGAATTTAAAATGACACAGCTGCAGTTCAATAAAGTTATTATATTCAGTAAAGTGATATAACAACAGATACAAATAAATATTGAACAAAATAACTATTGTGTGTGTGGTCATTTAATTTAAATAAAGAAAAAATCAGAACATCAT